GGGGGGGGGGGGCACCTTGTATATTTCTTTTATTTTTTACGGATTTCTGCTAAGCATCATCATTTTTTTGAGACGTTGGAAACCGTTCGGAAAGTTTATTTTCTACACAGAATATATTTTCTGCAAAAACCGAAAAATTATAGAAACCTTCCGTAAAGAAGGGATGCTGTGGCGAAAGACAAGAGGTCCTCGTCACTCAACTCCTGAATTTAGAGGAAAAAATTTTGACCCTCAATTTGCTTAAATTGAAATGGAATTGGATTGAACTCGATTGAATTATTTTTGATTTGGTTTTCATTGTAACGATTTCATTGGCTGAGCGATTAGCGAAGCCCATTACTCCACTGACCCGAAAAGTTTCATTCTGTTTGTTTGTGTGTTTGTTTGTCTGTCTGTCCGCACGATAAATCGAGAATGAATTGAGATAGCGATCTGGGAATTTTAGAGTCGTTTTGTATCAGTAAAAGAGAGATCGAGTTCGAAGATGAGCATTCTAGCTCAAAAATTGATTTAAAAAAAAATCGAAAACCACAGGTTGCAAAATGTATTTTTTTCAAATTTTTTTTATGGGTTCCTCAGGGGTAACTCGTCAAAGAATAGCCCTCTGGGCAAAAATTTCGTCCATTTTGCTCTATCTTGTACCGTTTCGGCGCTATGGGGCATTTCTTGGCGAAAACAATGTGAAAAAGACAAAATGGGCCATTAAATCGTAAAAAGGCTGCATGTCACAGAATTGTAAAGGGAGTAATACTTAAACCACAGGTCGCACTACACCTTCTTTTGGGCTTAAGGGTCCTTAGATTACCTAGTACCTCTAAAACGTTGATTTTTACATAACCATCTGTCAAAATTCAAACTTTTAATGAAAACCGTTACCGAACAGCAGAAGTTTCATGTCCCTAATTTTAGAGTAAATAGGCCCCGAAAAATGGTTAGAGTATGTCAAATTTTGGCCCCGGAAGGCCCTGTTCCCCAATACCCTCTCCTTAACTCGTCTCGGGTGTCAGCGCCGCAGGCCTAGCTATATGTGTGCCAGGCGCGTCGCAGCGCAACAGTGTTTCGTGAGATATCGCGAAGCCTGTTACGCGAGACGTGGTCTGGCGTACATATAGCTAGTTTATCTAACCTCACTAATCTTCGTTAAAAACTGAATTCAGCAATGTATCGTTTGTTACTCCCAGTACCTACATTTGCTAGGCTTTGAATTTTCCCTCCTTTCCTGAAATATGAAGATTTATGAGAGGTAGCAAATCTGAGTACTAGGTGCTACGTTAAGTATCGAACGATATATTTCTGAATTCAGTTTTGAACGTAGATTACGAATTTCGTAATTACATTGCTCTATAGTGGCTTTCTGACGCTACAGGGCCGTATTCCGGTTTTACACCTGTAAGCCCATAAGAAACCCATACTAAAATCAAAAGACCTTGGGCGAGTGGGTCTGATCGGGACGAACGGGGCGGTTTTAGAATGCTCTGAGTAAGGGCCATCTTCATCTTAAGTATCTTACTGCCAGTCCAATAGTTTTTTATTTGCTTTTTTTTTTAATTTGACCGCCCTACCATTTTCCTCGTAACAATAGGTAGATGTACGCCTGAACACGTCTCGCGTAACAGGCTTTGCGATACCTTACGAATGACTGTTATGCTGCGACGCGCCTGGCATACATGTACCTGGCCTGGGGCGCTAGCACCCGAGTCAGGCAAAAGGCAGCGTCGTAAATAGTTCTTCGGCCAGAAAAGTTACAATTTTTGATCCCCACGGTTTTATTTTGACGAGTTACCCCACCAGAGACCATCAAATAATTGCGAAAAAAACATAAAAACTTTTTGGGGCCATCGTGTGGAAAACTCCCTCTAGTGTCTCAAAGCTCAGAGATAGAGCCGAATGAACGAAATTTTAGGCCATAGGTTTAACCCCATAGGAAACCATAAAAATATATTTCAAAGTTGTTAGCAATGTTTTCCAAATGCTTTTTAAATAGCCCGTACTCGGCCAATTTTTGAGCAAGAGGGCTCAAATTAATATAGTTCTTGCTTTTTAAGACACAAAGTTTCAATAAAAATTTCAGCCTCCTAGCTCGAACAATTCACGAGTTAACGTGATGAGAGACAAACAGACACAGAAACACAATCAAACGTGAAACTTTGCAATCATAACTTTGGTAATAGGCTTCGCTAATCGCCCAGCCAACTAACCTAACAGTGCGTGCGAATTTCAAAACATCCCTTGGCAATTTAGAGTTCACCTTGCTTGGAAACGTCGCATCTCACTGGCTTTCAAATGTGAACCTAAATGTGCTTTCTCATACGCCTATGAGTCAGAATGTGGCTTTATTAATGTTCGAGTCAAAGCGCGAGTGCGTGACTGGCAAAAGGATACCCCACAGCTGACGCTTCAAGTTCTCGCCACTTGTGAACGTAAATATGCTGGGCGTGACAGTCCTATCACAGTAAGTCAAGTAGCATTGTCTCGGAGGACGGTCGTCTAGACGGTCACTGCACTCATAAACAATGTGTGAAACTGTGAAATACTTGGTCCAGGAAGCGAGGAAGGGGAATACCTGCAAAATGATAAGTTTTCAGAAAGCTGACAAAACTGTTTCACACCACAAATGTTGCAAAAGTTGAACTTTTATTTCACTTTCTTATTCTTAAAAGAGTGCGAGGTAGAATGATGAGGGTAGGATATTTCTTGATTTTCAAAAACACGTCCTCTGTAAAAGTGTGAGTGAAGGGAGACAAGTTAAAGTATCCCTAACAAATTAATGGAATTTTGGAATTTAGGAAGTTCCTCTGTTGTATGCAAAAGGAGTCATCTGTGCTATTGAAAATCTCAAAACTAGCGTTTTAAAAATACTGATAAAGTTAAAACTGGACCTTAGATAACGTAAAGTACGGGGTATTTTGTTGTAACTGACTGTTTTGGACGCATCTTGGCCATTTCAGGTAATAACAAAGAAAGGCTACCTATATTCGCTAATTGGCTGAGCGGTTAGCGAAGCCCATTACTCCACTGACCGAAAAGTTTCATTCTGTTTGTGTGTTTGTTTGTCTGTCCGCACGATAACTCGAGAAGGAATTAATATAGCGATCTGGGAATTTCAGGGTCGTTTTGTACCATAAAAAGACCGATCAAGTTCAAAAATGAGCATTGTAGCCCAAAAATTGCCTTTTTAGAAAATCAAAAACCACAGGTCGCAAAATATATTCTCTTTTCACATGTTTTTATGGGCTCTTCAGGGGTAACTAGTCAAAGGAGAACCTTGTGACCAAAAATTTCGTCCGTTTTGCTCTATCTTGTACCGTTTGGGTGCTAGGGGGCATTTCTTGGCGAAAATATGGTGAAAATTACCTAATGGTCTATTAAATCGTTAAAAAGGCTTCATATCGTAAAATTGTGAAGGATTATACTTAATTACTTAATCCACAGATTTAGCGTCGAACCACATCCTTCTTTGGACTCAAGGGTCCCTACATTATCTACTATCGCTAGAATGCTGATTTATACATATCAATCTCTCTAATGAGAACATTTACTGAATATCTATAGAATATCAGAAATTTCATTTCCCTACTAGAGGAGTTGCCTGGGAGCAGATCATGAGGAAAGAAGAACAATAGGACCGGAAACTGGTTTGAGAAATTGGGCGGTTAACCAATCAGTGCTCAACAAGCATTAGCGGCGCTCATCGTGGCTTGGGCAACGCCACAATTTCCACATTCTATTTCCGATATTCTTTCACTTCTTTCCTGGACGTCTGCTTCGAGGCAACTCCTGTATTTTGGAGTATAAAGTCCCCGACATATGCTGTGGGATTGACTCGTCTCGGGTGTCAGCACCGCATGCCTAGGTATATGTACGCTAGGCGTGAGATATCGCGAAGCCTGTTACGCGAGACGTGGTCTGGCGTACATATAGCTAGTTATCCTAAAAAGCTACACGAAAATTTTAGGTACCTAGCTCAAATCGTTCTCGAGTCATCGTGATTACAGACAGACAGACACGAAACTTTTTGATCATCACTGGAGAAGAAGGCTTCGCTATCGCTCAGCCAACAATCATCACATGGAATTTAAAAAATCCATTCAAATTTTAAGTCTTTACAGGAGGAGCCACAGGGCTTTCAGAGGCGTCGGTTGACATTCCCTCTGATTCTGAGATCTTCTTCGCCGTGATCTCTTGATCAGATGTCTTGCTGCTTTCATCCGACGACGGGGGCTTAGTGTGCATCTTGTCGGGCTCAGAGTCTGATGAGCTGGAGTCGTCGGTGTCACCGGGGGGCTGCTGCGTGTCCTCCCCCTCCTTCTCCTCCTCGACATCTTCATTGTCTCCACCGTCGTCGTCATCATCCTCCTCCTCCTCGTCGTCGTCGTCTTCTTCACCGTCGCTCTCAACGACCTGCAGCGCACTCCTGTACACAAGTTAGAAATGATATTACAATTTTCTCTCACCTCATATATAGATCATTCGATCATACTTCACAGTGTAAGAAAACATAAGACTTACACCATATCCTTGACCTGCCGCTCGCCCCCGTACGGCGGGCGCCTCTCATCTCCTGTGGTGGCCAGCACTTGTGCGAGGGCAAGCCATAGCAATCTTGAGCCTGGACTCGTGCTCCTCGGTGACGACGGCAGCAAAGTGGCGCCACGGCCGATCAAACTCAACGAGGCGAAGCCCCTCGGCGTAGAGGTTTGTAGCACGCCTCATGGCCCCGATGGGCAGGTCCTGGTCCAGCCGTTCCGAGTGGCCGTCTCTCAGGTGGGAGACGAGGGCGGCCCTCGACACAGTGATGAAATAGCAATTACGGACACCTTTTCACGTTCTTTGGGGCCTGCCGCGCCCCCTGAGGACACTGTGGACACTAGAAAAATATTGGTATCAGAATTTGCATTTTCACACACTCATTAGAAAAGTAAAATATGTTATCAAATTATGAAAAACTCACCTTCACGCCCCAGTAAACCTTCTTGGGCGTGGCAGGCCACCAAGCCGTGTTCTGATTCCAGTTTTTCTTCCGGTATTCAACTTTTGGCTTCTAGAAAGAAATTAACAGACGTCAGGCAACAGGCAGTTAAATCGGAGAAGAGAGTAAGAAGGGACGAAACGCTTATATCAACGTAAAAGGTTTTTCCTTGGGCTTGGGACTTCCCTTCTTGAACTTTTTGGATAAATTAAATTAAAACTAGTTTAAATCAACTAAACAAGACAGAATTAGCTTTATCAGTGTATGTACTGGGGGGGCGCCATCTGGGGTCTTGCTGCGCCGGCCCGGTCTCCCACGTTTGCCAGGCTTGTTGTCACTCGGATCTGGAGTAGCCGACGTAGACCCCTTGCGCTTTCTGGGCGTTTCGTCTTCTAGCTTGAGT